TATTATAAACGAAGATGGTATTAGACCAGGGATCTAGAAAAATAAAAGCCATAACAGAATTTCCAGAACCAAAGAATGTGCACGAAAGTGCGAAGATTTTTGGGCCTGACTGGATTTTTCAGACGATTTGTGCCGAAGTATGCGTTTAAAGAGCGAACCATTGACCAGATTGACAAAGAAGAATCGAGACTTCGAGTGGAAGCAAGAAAGAACAAAAGAAGGCGTTCGAACTATTGAAGAAACAACTGACTGATAAGCCCATATTAGCTCACTATCAACCGCATGCAGATACTGAAGTCCATTCTGATGAAAGTGCAAGGGCGGAAGGTTTGAGTGGAATGCTAATGCAACGTTGATGAAGATCAAAAATGGCATCTTGTTTATTGCGTCAGTAAGAAAACAACAGAAGCAGAGAGAAAGTATCATTCCAGCAAATTGGAGTTAATGGCCATCGTATGGACGTTGGACAGGTTAAGACAGTTCTTAATCGGCATAAGATTTACAATTATTACTGACTGTCAAGCTCTTATATATATGAATGCGAAGAAGACTACAAATCCTCAAATAGCTCATAGTCCGTTGGTGTAGTTTGATTCAAGAATACGATTTTGAGATAAAGCATAGGTCAGGAAAAAGACTGTCCCATATTGATGCTTTGAGCAGAGGTCCTGTATCAGAAGCTGATGACAAGAATAGCTGAAAATTTTGAAGTTTGCCAGTCCCTAACCGAAGAAGAGGCAAATACTAATGATACAACATGCTGACCAAGACCTGAAAAGAATTATCGAAATTTTCAAGAAAAGAAACAAGAGGAACGAACTGCTGAGGAGAGAAAAAAAAAAGTAATTATGAATTACGTGTTTAAGAAGAATAGACTGTTTTGGAAAACCGTAGTAGACGGAAAGGAAAGACTACTCTATGTGATTCCAAAAAGCATGAGGAAGAGTGTAGTGGTGAAATTTCATGATTTCTTTGGTCACTTTTCTGTGGATAGAACAGTTAGCAAAATTAAGGAATTATATTGGTTTCCAAGCATGAAACGATATGAACGAAGACACATATCAGCATGTATTGAGTGCCTTATGAATAAAGCGACATGTGGCAAGCAACAAGGACTATTACATCCCATAAAACCTGGTAAAAGACCATTTGCTATTGTTCACATGGATCACTTGAGTCCTTTCGTAAAGAGTTCGAGAGGTAATCAAGAACTATTAGTGATAACATAACTAGGTTCGTGAGAATTTTTGCAGTTAAGAATACTAGTGCTAAAAATGTTTTACAGTCTTTGAAGAATTTTGTTAATGATTTTGGACTACTGGAAAGAATAATAAATGATAGAGGATCTTGTTTTACTTCTCACCAATTTAAGCAGTATTGTGCAGATAACGAAATACATCATACTTTGAATTCTACCAAACACCCCCAAGCCAATGGTATGGTAGAGCACATCAACAGAACAATTTTAGGAACGATAATGACAAGTTTGATGGATAAACAACACAGAGATTGGGATTCAAAAACAAAAGAGACAGAAAGAAATCTTAACAACATGGTAAACAAAACTATGAATAAGACTCCATTTGAAATGCTACATGGGTATTCTCCCAGATTTAATGATGGAATACTTAGGAAATTAGCAGATGAAGATTCAGATGCATGGAAAGACCCACGAGAAATCCAAGAGCAAGCGCGAGGAAGAATTGAGGAACAGCAAGTGAAAATGAAAAAGAGATTCAATGGGAAGAGATGTCATACACTAATATTCGAGCAAGGAGAAATAGTTGTGATGAGATGTGCTCTTAAGTCTACAGGTCAACCTACCAAAACACTGCCGAAATATCGAGGGCCGTTTATAATAACAGAAATATTACCTAGCGATACCTACAGAATAACTCAACTAGAAGCGAAGAATTGAGGTCGTTACTTTACTACCATTGTTCATGTGAGCCAGCTGAAGCCATGGAGGTGCGATCCCAGCTCTGACGATGATGATGACGACGGCGACGATGAAGATACTGACCAGTTATCAAGCTTAATTCCTCGACGGAATCCAATCAGATCTGTTCGTAAGGACTGATGGAAGTGCTCCACTCTGTGATTAAGGTGAGACCTTTCCTTTTTTTGTGTGTGTGCTTATCTACGTATGTTTGCTGATAGAAAACTTTATAAACTTTGAACTCTTGAACATTAATTGACTTTGAACTTTTGAACATTAGCTGAAAGACTTTAGTGCATTTTGAATCATTTTAGGACTGAAAAAAAATTTGAGTTATTTCATATACATCACGTATTTAGTAATGATTTACAGAAAATTTTCGATTATTATGCTAATGTATAAAAATATGTGAAAATATTTTACTAAGTTTATTATCATATCAAATTTTAGTATAATGTGTATTCTTCTTAGTGTATTAGTAATATGTATGTTTAGTATTATGTATAAGAGTCGAAGTAGAAAACTGTATTAATTATAAAATTGATTTGTACTCCAAACAATCGGGATGATTGTCAGGTCAGAATGACCAAATGTTATCAGGCGATAGATGGCATTGTAGAAAAGCCGCCGATAGGGGGCGCACGATATCAATCGAGAATCGGGAAGCAAGAGAATAGGATTGATGTTAAGAATGTTCCATAATGATATGTATATATGTATATATTTATTGTAATAATAAAGCATTTATAAAATGCAAGAGTTATCCCGATTGAATGAAAAGTGAAAGCCCGACTTACCCCTAGCCGTCCTGAGATTGATAACGGAGATTTAAGCTAACACTAAAAGTAGTATTTCATCTCGATGTACTCCGTCTTTGATACGATTTAAATCAAATTCCTCGTCATTATAAATATCACAAATACACATCAAATAGTTTTTCTGGTTGCAATTTTCTAATTTCGACTATGCGTAATGTATGCTTTACACGTACGCGCGTTGAAAGAAATGTTTAATAAAGTAAACAAATAAATATTAAGCTTTTTTTTTTGTAAATTTTGATACCCTTTAGATCATAATTGCTTTTTATTTTATAAATTACGGTTTCATATTTTTAATTTTATAATTTCTGCATGCCATCTTACCAGATTTAAATTGATGATCTATAATCTGGAAAAACCGATAATCCGGAATCGCTGAAGTCCCGACGAGTCTGGATTAAAGACTTTTGACTGTATATAGGACTTACTGTTATTACCTGTGTGTGTGTGTGTCTGTATGCCTGTCTCAAAGTAAATATTTCAGATTTTCACAATAAAACGTATAAGAAAACAATTCTTACATAACAGCTACTTGCAAAAGAAAAATTAGAGTCATAAACCTCTAATATAAAGAGCCATTTTTAAAATTGACATTAATTCCATTATCTATTAGAAAATAATTATAGTGAATAATTTATTGACGACATCTCTAAGAGGTGACTTTCTAAAAGACACCTACCTGTATTTTTGAGAACACAAACAAACATTGGTAGTGACCATCACTCTTTTAAGACCCCCCACATGTAAAATCATCTAAAAATACGAATGGTTGCATTTAAAGAGGACCTATAACTTTTAATAAAGAATATAACATTAATCTTAATTACACATTTTTTTTTTTTTTTTTTTTTTTTTTTTTGTGTGTGTGTGGGTCATTGTCAAATGTTGATACCATGGTTCTGTTTCCTTTAGAAATGCGTGAAATTAAAAAAATGGATACGATATATCAAAAATATTATTACATTCAGATACACACCTCTTGAACACGTCTGAAATTCATTATCTTGCTCAGCATATATTGTCTACATAAAATATTATATAATATTAGAAATCAAAAGCTAAGTAGAAGCAGTCATCTCCTCTAAATCATTTTAATTGAAGTAAACAGGTGTTCGTCTTATCGTAAAGTGAACACCTGTTTTTTAAATGGCAGATGAAACGGGAAAGAGGGAATTGGTGGGGGAAGGCAAAAGGACACTTTTTTGAGCTGGAGATGAAACTGCAAAGGAAACGGTACTAAGGCAATAAGACGAGGTTTAGTATTTTATTTTACTATTTAACTATTCATCATAAATTTAAGAATTTATTAAATTTTTATTTGTCTTTACAGTTTTATTGAATTAGTCTTTACAGTTTTATTGAATTTTAATTCAATAAAACTGTAAAGACAAGTATTTTACATTTCAGTTGCTAATTATTACGTTATTTTAATTATTCATTATTTTAATCACTAATTTATTATTATTTTAATAACTATTTTTTTATTATTTTAATTACAAATTATATTATTATTGTAATATTTATTTCATTTATTTACTTATTTTTTATCTTTTCTTACATTCTTGATGACCTTCCATAGGGCTCCGCACTTCTGATTTTAGAAATTAAGCCCTGACAGCAATAGCAAACTAAATACTTACTGATATCAGTGTACAAAATAACAGCCAAAACAAATTGAATTATTTCTACCCAGAAATGTGACACAAAAGTCCCTATCACAGCACTGCTTTTCTGATTGGTTGAATTTCTTCAGTTCCCACAGGGCTCAGCCGCTCACGTGATTCAAGGCAATATGATGCTTCATACTAGTACTCGATTCTACCAAAAGTAACGAATACATACGGGTGTATACAATTTCTCATTACTTTTACAGCATTATTGATAAATGAACTATAAAATGCTTTGATAGGCACAAGTACGATATTCTGGCACTGAAGAATTATCTTTTGCCAATCTGAGTTTAATAAGCAATGAAGTGAGTTTAATAAATGGCCTTTTTTTACTGATTAGTATTAATTATTTTGATCCCTGGAAATTTGCATGGAATAGGTTAATTCATTAACCTGTGAGGTTACTATGTGGCGGGTACTGTAAAACTACTTTCTGAGATGCATTTGCATACATACAATCAAATTTAAGTTTGTAAAACTCTTGAATACTTTTATTTTTCATTCTACTTCTATTAAAGATGATACAAAATTTCTACTTTTTTTCAATTTAAATGAGGTATTTCAGCTTTACAATCATGCAAGTAATAAGGCTTTCTTGAGCACTATCAAGTACAAAAATTTATTATGATAGCTAACATGGAATTTACTTCAGGAAAACTAACTTAGATTAAAATTTTAAACTTCAAGACAGTGTTAAGGATGGCATTTTAAAAACATACATTTAATTCTTTGGTCAAAAGTTTGCATTAAAATGATAGCTGCCAAGAGATTTAGCTTCCTTATTGTTAGTGAGTCATACAGAGCAACAAGATTTGAAAAATACTGTTACTTCTGAAACTGAAAAATCTAAAAATATTCACTCCCCTTCAAATACAGTTCACTGCTTCTACTCTAATTTAATTCAAAACTGATAGCTATACAAATTTCCTTCAGATAGTAAACTTACCAGTGAAAGTATGTTTAATAAAAATCATCCAAAAGATATATATATACATATATTTACCTGGAGGTGGACGAATAACTTGTCGTATGGCAACTAAATGAATTATTTTCTGAAGCACAGTGTGTCTTATTGCCAACTGCAACAAGCATTTATTATAATGAATAAATATACTGAAAAGCATTTATTTAGAAGTTTCAAAGAAAGAAACATTTAGCCACAACATTACAATTACACAAATAACACATTTTCAACGACATTCAAGAGGCAGTAATTTCAAATGCTTAACACTTTTGGATAGAGAAATAAGCATAAGTCAGAGATCGTTAAAAAAAAATCCTTTAGGTTGCTGCTAGCTTAACCAAAAGTTCAAACCAAATCTGATAAGATTTTATTTAATAGCCCTAGGAAAATTTTGCCAAGTAAGAGATTAAAAAAATTATAAGTATCCAGCAAATTGCTCTGCTCATTTTTAATCTGCTGAAAAAGCTGACCTGTAATAAATATATTTCAAATGCTAGAAACTTACTGAAAGAATGTTACTTTTACTGAAGTAAATACAATATATCATTCATAACCATTTTTCAACAGTAAAAATTAAATATAATATTACTGCAAAAAGCTATTATTGAAAAAGCTTAAATATATTATTAACTAATTTTTTTAGAAAAACAAGGCACCATTCTAGATTTTTCTGAATAAGAATTTTCGGTACTTTTCCATTTTGCCGGCGCAAATCTCGCCAAGCAGACTTTATTGATGACAACATACAATATACACAAATAAAAAATTTTAACGAATGTTAGTTCTAAGAATTTTTTATTTTGAAGGCATAAACATTTTAATATCATTTAAAATTTTGTCAAAAGCCAATAAATTTGTAAAAAGACATTAATTTAAGAATTTACTATGCTTTTATGGTTCAACATCCTGATTTTCCGGATCATATCAATTGACCCCAAGTGATCTCATCTCACGTAAACTATGTTACAAAAATCTAATTCTCACAGTAATTATCTGCATTAATTTCAAGTTGAATCTTAATTTGGAATATAAGTTTAAATGCAAGAATGATATCAATTCGTACGAATAGCTTACTCAGAAATTATGTAAAACCGCAGTGCTTTACTTCGCTAGTGCATTCTCATTAGAATTGATGAATTTAACACTTGACTTTGCCTTTTCTATACTTTTGCCTTCAGGTGAGCGGTGTGATTGCATCCTAATTGACTTATTACCGCAAATGGCCTTAGGGCATAAAATTGAACTATCTGGTAAAAATTCTATGTAACTGTATGCCAGTATTGAAATAAACAATCAATCTGATAAGAAATGGCTGTGACTTATTTTGAAAGTGAGGCGTAAAAGGTTACCAGCGAAATTCTGTTTGGCATTAACTGTACCTTTACTAGCGACTTTATAGCCGGCAAAACGGCAAAGTACCAAATTTTAATAATTAGTCCAGTAGCTGAAAAAAAAAATGCATCCTCAGAAGTCTTTAGAGAAGTTTCTTGATCCTCATTTCTGATATTTTGTTACCCAGATGAAACTTTCGTACAGATATTAGGCCATAAATTTAAGCCTGTTTTGTATACCATGAGGAAAGAAAGGTTTTAGGCAATTTTTTAACTCTTTTTATGAAATCTATTAAAAATTTTAATGGTATAATCAACAATTAAAGGAAATTAATCAACTGCTATAAACAGAAGTGAAAAAAATGGGTTCTTGAAGTTATACATGAGGATTTTATCACTACATATTAAAAAATTTGTTATGTACTAACTTATAGAAATAAATGGTTCCCTGGATCAAGCATTTTAAAAGGGAAGAAAAGAGGTATGCACACACTATTATTGCTAACTTTGAAATAATAGCACATAAGTGTGCATTTATGCATTTTCTACATTTATAGTAAGTAAATCAAATGTTTTGTATTTTAGCACCTTGTAAGTATTATGCATGAATAATGGATGTTAATAATTAATGGAAAGCACAAATGTTCCTTTGATAGCGTGTATTGTAAAAGCTTAAGCATTGTAAATGAAAAATGAAAAGTTAGTACATTTCATAATTAAGACACAATAACACACCGAACAAATACTAATTCAGAAGTCAAACAACAAAAATCAGCGTTATATTTTCAAATTTTCACAGGACTAGTTTCTTTGGTTTTACCGAACCACCATCTTCAGCTGCAAAAGTGGAAATTAATGAAATAAGATATAATGATTAGATAATATAAGAAAGCCTGGACAGAAGATAAGCTAGTGGCACCATCTGTTGATGAAACCAGAACTAAAACATAATTTCTTTAAAGGTCGAAAGCAAAGATGGATTGGAATTAGGATTGTTAACTAGAATAGAAAGAAATTTTTGAATGTGAAATGCATCTAGAAAAACACACTCATCTCAACACACTAAAAGGCACAATTTTGTTTTAGGAGATTAAAAAAATTCTGCTGTCATTCCCTTCTTTTCCATCAATTAGCTATAAAGTTGCACATAATTTGCAGAAATTTAACTTTCGAGTCATTTATTCTCCCATCAATAAAATCCCAAGTTCCATACTCAAGCATCCCATTCCAGATATGAATTCCTGGGGTATTTATAGGGTTCCTTACCAGTGTGGTTTAATTTACATTGTCCAAACTAAGAGAGCCTTAAAATTTCACGTCAAGGAACATGAGGCATATGTTAGAAAAAAGGAAACACAGAAGTCTTCTGTTGCTCAACATTGTTGGTCCGAAAATCACACTTTCAATTTTCCTGCTGCCAAAATTATTCAAAAAACATCTTCCATTGGAGAACTGGGTGCTACTTTGGTAGACGGTTGCATGGATTTTGGCGATTTTTCTTTTGGCGAGTAATACAACTTATGGTAAACCCATTGCTGGATAGGTTATTTATGGTAACCGATACTTTGTTGTCATTTTATTTAAAAAATAATGCGTTTTATTATGCATAACTTCCGTGTTTTAAATATTATTTATGGCTTCTAAATATTAAAAGTCAATTTAATTTTACATTTTTACTTGAAATAAAAATTTTGTTGTTTATAATATTTTATAAAATTTTATGTTGTTGATGATGTAATTAATGACGTCACCTTACTTAAAAGTAATTGGTTTTATTAATATCTATAAATTTAATCTAATGTTTTAAACATTATTTATGGCTGTTAAATATTAAAATACAATTTAATTTTGCATTTGTTTTAAAAAATGATTTTATTATGTATGATTATTTAAATAATTTTAATTCTATGGCGTTGATGTAATATCAGCTCCCTGATTGGTTACACTGAATATTTGTGAATTACCACGGCATTTTAAAATTTTATTATTCATCTCTTCGAATTCGTCAGATTTCAAATGGAATGGATATCTTCGTTTCGAAGATGAATGTTGTTATTGGTAAGTTACCAAGAATTATTGGTATTGGAATAAAAAAATTTGCCCTTTGAGACCTTATTTTGGCCCAACCTGTCTTTCCTAATCAAAGATTTATTTATAAATTGTTAATAGCATCAGAGGAAAATTTATTTTAAATTTTTGGAGGAAACCTTGCTAATTGCTTCTTCAATGAAGTGCGAGATATGTGGATAACAGATGAAGATGGTTAAAAGAGCCGATTCAATTATGATTTCGATTTTTTTGTGGTACTTATCAATAAACAAGAGGTTAAATTGCTCAAAAAATGTAAATACATATTTTTCTTTTATTTTATAATTGTATACTTCAATTTTTGTTAAAAAAATTAATACACTATTTCCAAAAATTGCTGAGATAATTATTGTCACATATGTTTTAATGTTAATTATATTTTATATAACATATTTTAAAGTATTTGAATTTAATAATATTCTAATTCTTTTAAAAGTTGGTAGGATGGTTTTTAATTCGATATTCAATTTCAGTAATATTTTAATCTAATTAAACGTTGGCACAATGTTTTTTATAGCGGTGCTTTTATTCTTTTTTTTGCTATATGAAAGTAAAAATAGCCTTACTTTAGTATTTTATACTCATAGTAAATGTATTTATTTACACTTGCCTGCCATCTTAAAAAACAACATTTTCAACAAAAGATTAATCCATTACTTTTAACGATATTTTTTTTTTTTTTTTTAAGTTTCGAATACTTTACTATGCGTAAAAACAGCGTTTTTCAAGATGGCTGACAACTGTAAAAATCGCGCCAAAAATCCGTGCAACCGTCTACCAAAGCAGCACCGATAACTGGATTTTCAAGAGGCATTTCACATTAAAAAAAAATCTTTCTGTTCTAGTTAACGATTCTAATTCCAATCCATCTTTGCCTTCGGCCTTTAAAGAAATTACGTTTTAATTCTGGTTTCATCAACAGATGGTGCCACTAGCTTATCTTCTGGTCAGGCTTTCTTACCTTATCTAATCATTATATCTTATTTCATTCATTTGCGCTTTTGCAGCTGTGGATGGTGGTTCGGTAAAACCATCGAAAACTAATCTTTTGAAAATTTGAAAATATAACACTGATTTTTGTTGTTTGACTTCTGAATTGGTATAGTTCAGTTAAGAGGTAGAAGTTGCTATTACACTACAAATGTTACACACTTATTCACCCACTACAAAGTTGGACAGAGGTGAAAAAAGATGTTAAGGGAATAAAAGGAGAACTGTAAAAATGATTTAAAACCTTAAAAGGTGATTCTTGTATTTACATACAGTATGATTCAAGGTACATTTTTGCTAAAGTAAGTTTCCTCCCAGGAATCTGGATGGAAATGTAAGTCAAAGAAAAGGTCCTGAGTGAAACTTTTGTTTGAAGAAATGATAAATGTTAAATAGTCTAAGAAATAACACTAACTGAGATTCTGTAGAAGGTTGGCACAAGTGCTTAGGTTCACAAATAAAATTCTAATCCAAGGTCACTACGACCTTTGTTTTCAAATAGTTTAAATTCTATAAGAAATTTCGTGTTAATTAAGTAATTTTTATCATTTGGATTCATGCTATTCTCCTTTTCATTAGCCCTCACCAGGATGCAAATGAATTACATATACTTTAGGTGAGGGTTTTGAATGCTTTAGGAATAGCAGCAATGTTCATAGTTTCACTTTCTTTTGCACAGCTCTGCCAGATAATATTCTAACATTAGCCATCTGTTAGCCAAAGTTAAATCTAACTTAAGACACAATAACATGCCAAACAAATACAATTTAGAAGTCAAACAACAAAAATCAGCGTTATATTTTCAAAATTTTCACAGGACTAGTTTCGATGGTTTTACCGAACCACCATCCTCAGCTGTAAAACCACAAATGAACAAGATAGGAAATAATGACTAGATAAGATAAGAAAGCCTGGACAAGAATAAGCAAGTGGCGCCATCTGTTGATGAAACCAGAACTAAAACATAATTTCTTTAAAGGCCGAAAGCAAAGATGGATTGGAATTACGATCGTTAACTAGAACAGAAAGATTTTTTTTTAATGTGAAATGCCTCTAGAAAATCCAGTTCTCCAATAGAAGATGTTTTTTGAATAATTTTGGCAGCAGAAAAATTGAAAGTGTGATTTTCGGACCAACAATGTTGAGCAACAGATGACTTCTGTGTTTCCTTTTTTTTAACATATGCCTCATGTTCCTTGACGCGAAATTTTAAGGCTCTCTTAGTTTGGCCGACTTCTGTGTTTCCTTTTTTTTTAAGATATGCCTCATGTTCCTTGATGCGAAATTTAAGGCTCTTAGTTTGGGCCAATGTAAATTAAACCACACTGGCAAGGAATCCTGTAAATAACCCACAGGAATTCATATCCAGAAGTGGGGTCCTTGAGTAGGGAACTCAGAATTTTATTGATAGGAAGAATAAACAATCCTGAAAATTAAATTTCTGCAAAAATACGTGCAACTTTCATAGCTAATTGATGGAAAGAAGGGTAATGACAACAGATACTTCTTATAATCTCCTAAAACAAGAGTGTGCCTTTCTGGTGTGTTGAGATAAGAATTTTTTAACTGCTTAATTAATAATACTGGGTGAAAAGCCCACTGTCTGTAGCTACTGCTTTTAAATAATTTAGTTCTTTATCAAGGGATAGTTTGGAGGAGCAAACTTGAAGAGCACAGAAAACATAGGAATAAAATGAAGCTAACTTTTGTTTAGTTGGATGATATGATTTAAAGTGTGGTGGAAGAGAAACCGATGAAGGTTTACGGTAAACCATAGTACTGAAGTTGGATGTGTTACATGTGACCAGAATGTCGAGAAATGGAAAAGAATTGCAAGTCTTAAGTTCAAAAGTGAACTGAATAGCAGAATCAATAGAATTCATTGTTGAAAGAAGTTGTGTGGTTTATTATTGCTTAGTTAATTTAGTTTGATTTTCTGCGTTGTTTATCATGCCTTCATCCGTTAATCGTTTCACTAAATTACGCCTGAAATGGCAAAAATTCCTGAATCATCTTGACTTTTTACTTAAATGTAAAAAATTGATCCCCAATTTTATTCAAATCAAATCTAATCAAAAACCTTCCAGTCGCGTTTCAAGAATTCTGTTAAATTGTAAGCTTGCCTTACTTCGGTCTATCATAAGTCCATCACGTCAACAATTGTCCAAAATTGAACATGAACTCTATAAGCTTAATCTGGAACTCGCTAATTCATATCCAAAATTCACTGCCCTTGAACAAAAGTCTTGGTCTAGAACGGAGAATGCAGTTAACCGTCATAAAAATACTCTTGCAGTTAAATTCGAAAAACGTCTTTTACAGTCTTCCAGTTAAAGTAGTTCAAAAAATCTTCCCACTGTAAACATCAAACCAATAGTTAATATTTCTAATGTTAGTCTTTCAGAAGAACAAGAGAGAATTCTAAAATATAATTTTAACTTCTCACAAAACTGTAAACCCTCGATTCCAAAGATTCTGGTTCCTATCGAAAAAACTTTCAAGTTCAGTAAATTTTCAGATTCACAGAAAGAAATGATTAGGCATCTTATCGTTCATAACGTGAAATTCAATAATAAACCTTTGAAACCAAATCTAACTGCGAGAGAAAGAGCGACAGTGCGCGAAATTCATTCTAACCCGGATATTATCATTTTAAAGGCCGACAAAGGTGGACAGATAGTCGTAATGGATAAGAACACTTACATCGATGGTGTCACTAAACTCTTAAACAAAGGACCATATAATCTAATCCTTAAAGATCCTTTACCTTCGGACTTGTCAAAAATAAAATCTGCGATCAAATTTTCACAAATCATTTCAAGCAACTTAAAACATTCGCTTATCCCATCTGTTGCGAATTGTGCCAGATTATATGCTCTTTCCAAAATTCATAAAAGTGGTATTCCTTTCTGCCCTATTGTATCAAATTTAGGTACTGCTTCATATCCATTAGCTAAATATTTAGTTTCTAGATTTTCAACTCTATTAGACAATAACATTTATACCATAAAAAATTGAATAGAGTTTGTAAAAAGGTTAAAAACATTTCTCCTAGAAATTTACTCATGGTTTCTTTGGATGTAAAATCATTATTCACCAATGTTCCAGTGGAGGGTGCATTAAGATGTCTAGAAACCAGACTTTGCGAATTTCATTTTTCTTGCATCGAAATTCATGAGCTAACTTCTCTCTGTTTAAAACAAACACATTTTGTTTTCCAAAATAAATATTACAAGCAAACTGAGGGATTAGTCATGGGAAGCCCCCTCAGTCCCATTTTGGCTGATATGTACGTCCATTATTATGAATCCAAATTGTTTGAAATTTTAAACTTCCCGGCATGGTTCCGTCACGTAGACAATACTTTTACCCTGTTTGAAGGTAATAAAGATGATTTAAATAAAGTTCTTTCAACAATGAATTCTATTGATCCTGCTGTTCAATTCACTTTTCATCTTGAGAATTGCAATTCTCTCCCGTTTCTCGACATTCTGGTTACACGTAACACATCCAATTTCAGCACTACGGTTTACCGTAAACCTTCATCCGTTTGCCTTCCACCACACTTTAAATCATGTAATCATCCGACTAAACAAAAGTTAGCTTCATTTCATTCCTATGTTTTCCGTGCTCTTCAAATTTGCTCCTCCAAACTAGCCCTTGATGAAGAACCAAATTATTTAAAAGCAATAGCTATTGACAGGGGATTTTCACCCAACGTTATTAATCAAGCAGTTAAAAAATTCTCATCTCAACACACTAAAAGGCACACTCTTGTTTTAGGAGATTATAAAAATTCTGTTGTCATTACCTTCTTTTCATCAATTAGCTATAAAGTTGTACATATTTTGCAGAAATTTAATTTTCGGGTTGTTTATTCTCCCATCAATAAAATTCCAAGTTCCCTACTCAAGGACCCCATTCCGGATATGAATACCTGGGGTATTTATAGGATTCCTTGCCAGTGTGGTTTAATTTACATTGGCCAAACTAAGAGAGCCTTAAAATTTCGCGTCAAGGAACATGAGGCATATCTTAGAAAAAAGGAAACACAGAAGTCATCTGTTGCTTAACATTGTTGGTCCGAAAATCACACTTTCAATTTTTCTGCTTCCAAAATTATTCAAAAAACATCTTCCATTGGAGAACTGGATTTTCTAGTGGCATTTCACATTCAAAAAATCTTTCTGTTCTAGTTAACGATCCTAATTCCAATTCATCTTTGCCTTCAGCCTTTAAAGAAATTATGTTTTAGTTCTGGTTTCATCAACAGATGGTGCCACTTGCTTATTCTTGTCCAGGCTTTCATATCTTATCTAATCATTATTTCCTATCTTGTTCATTTGCGGTTTTACAGCTGAGAATGGTGGTTTGGGAAAACCATCGAAACTAGTCCTGTGAAAATTTTGAAAAATATAACGCTGATTTTTGTTGTTTGACTTCTGAATGAAATCTAACTATTAAAATCTGAAACTCAGAAAATTAAAGATGATAGCACTTATAGGGTACTTATAGGACATTACAAGAATGTAAAAATGTTGAGTTCAAATTATGCATATAAATAACAATACACTATAGAAAAATCTATGAAATATTGAAATACATTATATGTATGTCATGTGTAAAACATGCACTGACATTTTTATACAAAGAGAAAAATGAAGCAAAATATTAGAAGAAATCAAATTTAACTTACATTCCTAGGAGGAGTATCCCAAAAGAAATCTTCAAATGCAAGTCCTGTGTCATTTAATTTGGGTCTAAATGCAGATTCCATAGTAAAATTCGAATCTGAAATTTAATATAATTTTAAAATATGTAATTATACAAATGTTAAAACTATACTTTTTTGGTTGCATAAATGAATTAATTGCAACTATTTAATCTGATACAGGGCTTTAATCAGCATTTAGGACTAATTTAAGTAATAATTTATATTACAAGTGATAATTTACAATAAGATGGAAAAGGCAATTTTACATTGAAAATTTTGTAAAGTCAGCTGGTTTGCTTGAGGGCTATCTGCCTAAGGTAAGAAATGCCTATGTAGAGAAATTTCTTAAGGTAGACTGCCTGTGTTTATATTACACATCAGAAAAACCATGAAACTACAAATGCAGCCAGCCCATTTACTGGGATTCGAACCTGGCCTGAATTACAAGGAAGCTACAGTAGCATGCCAGATTCCAAATATCCAGACTGAAATGGACTGATCTCATCAAAATACTAAACAAATTCAAAAAGTTTTATTCCCTCTCTCTTTCTCTCCCTGCAGTTGAGCACATATTTTATGTAAACAGATTTTCATTTCTTCATTTATCACATTTTTTGAAAAACTTACAACATAAAATTACCTTTTATTTGCATATATATGCAATGCACTTACATTTCCACTAAATTAAAAGAATAGTATTAACTTTTATTTACACAAAATTCTTTCCATCTGTTTCACTGAACTAAACTTGAACAAAAAATATTTTCATTTGTATAAATCCAAACATTTTCTATTTCAGCTAAGCTAAAAAAGATGACTTCATTTTTATTCACATTAGTTTTTCTTTACTCTGAAAAATGCTAAATAGAGGGGTGGTGGCAGGAAGAGCAGAATTTACTTGCTTGAAAAGTTTTTACTTCTTGCAATACAAAGAGGTATTAAACACCGGCTCACAGAGGAAAGGTGAAAAATATATCCCTGGTTTCAGCTTTATTCAGTGTGTTATTTGAATCTAATAGAACCCATTAATGTTTTCATATCACTTGACGGATAAAAGAAATACATGATGATCATGGGTTGTGGTCTTCCAGGTCTAAAAGATACCTTGTCATTATTTTCTCCAAGCCTTTACTAACAAATACAGTATAAGAACTTACGCAGAGATCTGTTGTAGAAGCTTTATTCCATAGCTGGAATGCATGCAGCATAAAATTAACCATTCCAATGATATATGTTGACTTAACCCCTTGGGTACGGATTTATTTGAGAAAATATTTGCATCTGGAATGGATATAATTTTTGGTTGTGATTCATCAATAGCTACTTCACTATCAGGAGTATAAAGGCAACAAAATTTATTATTTAGGTAATCCACTATATTTCTAATCTTTCTTATTCTGTCATCTTTATTTTCCTTTTCATTATCCGTAAAATGTAGAAAGCCTGAAATATAAAAAAAACCTATCGCATGGCATAGTGCTGGCAAAAATTGGAGTACTTATTGCATATCTTTTTGACCAATACATATGCATTTTTGGCTTCTTCATTTGCAACATCAAGATGCATAATGCAATATAAGCTTTCATTTCATCAGAACTTACAGGAAACCACCTTTGGTTTCTTTTTGTTACACAACCTTCTTTTTCTATTACTTGTCTGGCATATCTATTTGTCTCTTCTACTACAGTGTCTCAAAAATCTTCATTCAAGACGCATTCATTCATTACTTCATTTATTACGCAGGCTCAAAGGATTAATTCCAGATATTTCAGAAAAACTTTTTATATCGGCCACATTTTCTTCTTCTTCACAAATCCATTCCTCTGATACTGGTCATGAGAAGATTCACTATCATTGTTCGATAGACCTCTTGTGCGTCTTCGAAACCCTGGTTTCATATTACAATTGTCTTCATTTTCTGGTTCATGAGAAGATTCACTATCACTGCTCGATAGATGTCTTGTGCGTCTTCAAAACCTTGATATTATATTACAATTGTCATCATTTTCTAGTTCAATATCGTCTTCATCACCTTCACTTTGTATTTCATTATAATTGTCAATTTCAGTATCACTTAACATTTCTTCTTTAGATTTCTAAAAGTCACTTTTGCTATCATTATCATAAAATATATTCCTTGTTTTTGATATAATGAGGCAGTGTATCGCAAATAATGTTCACCAAAATACTGTAATTGCCTCTTCTATTATGACTGATAGAAGCTACAATGAAATGAACAGAATTGTGCTTAACCTCAAATAACGTTTTAGACACGTTCATCTGCTCCTAGGAAAAACAAGTGAATGACATCTCTCAGATGTCAAATGTACCCAAGAGTTTAATTTTTGGTTTGGCGTCTTAGACACGTCATCCGCTCCTAGGGGGGGGAAGTGAATGATGTGTCTCAGACGTCAAATGTACCCAAGGGGTTAAAAAATATCTGCATAAAGGCCTAACACATTAAGATTAATCTCTTCCTAAAGAAAAGCCCTTTTACAGCAAGAAATTATTTTGCAAGCAGTAAAACCTCTCCTCTATTTTGAAATATTCTCAGAAATAAAATATTGTTTATTAAATGCTTTTTCATCAAACAATTAATTTCATGTTTATTGATTTATAATTACATAACATTTATCTTTATAATGTAGAAAAACCTCCTGTCTTTATCTGACTTAAGATAAAATGCCAATAAATTACAAGTAAATAAATATGAAGATGATCCATATACTTAAATCCCATTGAAAGTATTGAATAAATAAGTTGATATTTTATGAAAAACTTAAACTATTATTCTTCAATAAAAATAGGAATTGAAAGAACAATGAGAAAAATTCTGATTATTAATAAATATAGTATTATATATATAAAGTACAACTACAATTACCCAAGCTCTGAATATCTGAATCACTTTCAGAATTTAATAAAAAAATTAAGACTTAAAAAAAAATTAAGAGTGTGGCCACATGCAACTTCTTATTGTCAAGTGGATGTGCGACTTCACTTCCCAAAAACAGATGAAGACAGTCAAACAGCTTACTTTGACTGAGATGTTCAGCAAACAATAAATTTCAGCACTTTTAAGTACTCTACAGTATGCTATATAACATGTATGTAAAAGTGTTGCCTTAGCATTTTCATTAATTAAAACCACTTTTACTTTAAAAATAGTTTTTTCTCCCATTTTCAACATACAGTAATTAATTAATTAAAAGTGTACGTAGACCCCTTTTTTTGGAAAAAATCCAATTATCAAAACTTTTGATTATTCGAATGGGGTCCGGTCCCCATTGATTCGGATAATTGGAGTTCTACTGTATATAAATTAACATAATATATGTAATTTCAACTGTAAAATTAGAAATAACTGTAGAAAATCTATGCTAGTTTACATCCCTATATATTTATAAAATATTCGACAATCACTGACAAAAAGTTGAAATTTTGCATGCACAATTACTGTCATTAAATAATTTTTGCAATATTTTATTCTCAAAATCTATTTAGAATATTTACTACTGTATACACCTGCATATAAGTTGACAATTTTAAGAAAAAAATCAAACCTTGAAGTAGGGAATTGATTTATATGCAAAAACCTAAAAAAAAAAAAAAAAAAAAAAAAAAATCAACTGCTGCCGATTGATGACACATCGGCAAACTTGATTAATCGCTCAAAAGAAAAAACACAAAATTTTTATTTACTCTTTCCATTTTATTTATTAGTTTTTTTAAATTAAATTTGTTTTGATTTTATTTTCTGTTTATTAGAAAAGTCCTCCCCCCATTTCATTTCATTATCTGGCATCACAGAGCAATTCAGTCAGTACAATATCTGTGAGGCACTCTTTGATTATTATAACTGCATTGAATCAGTAACTGTAACCATACTGAATGTCTGTCTATTTACCTTGATCATACTCATGCTTTTTTACTTTTCCTGTTTTTCATAATGTCTAATTTAATGGAAGCTACAAAAAAACGGTTCCTTTCAGAGCCACACACTCCCTGCAGTGAGTTGTGTAAAACAAAAGTTAATGTCTTACACTGTGAAATTCAAGCTCAAAGTAGCTTCATTTGTGGAAAGTACGAACAACTGTACTGCATCACATAGGTTCGGCGTGAATCAGAAGATGATTTGTGGCTAAAGGGAAAATGTGCCTGTATTAAAGAAAACCCCTAAATCTAAAAAGGCCCTGCGTCATGGATCGGCATCTTTCCCAGAACTGGAAAAGCTTTAAGTGACTGGATTTTAGGCAACACACGGCAAAGTTATGTCATAATTCGAACTGCAATACATTTGCGAGCCATGTAACTAGCAAAAGATGGAACATTTGCTTCTCTAAATAATGCTTTTTTTTTTTTTTTTTTTGCATCACAACATTGCTGCATGAGATTCATGAAAATATTTGGACTATGTTTAAGCCATCATACCAAAAGTTCACAGAAATTGCCAAGTCAACTTGAAAATAAATTAATAAACTTCCAAAAGTACATAACTAAAAAAAGAAAATTAACTAATTTTGAAATGTCCCAAATAGGAAACATGGATGAACCCCCCCCCCCATGTCTTTTGAATTCCCTGAAAATTTCACTATAGATAAAAAGGGTGGGAAAAAAACAATTCATGTTAAAAAAAAATGGCCATAAGAAAACTCGTTTCGTAGTAGTTCTCACCTGTTTAGCAAATTGCAATAAGTTGTCTCCCATAATTTTTTTGAAAAAACATTACCGAAAAATACTGCATTTACGGCAGGTGTTATTGTTCACGCCCAGAAAAATGGTTGGATGGATGAAACCCTTATGATTGATTGGTTACAAAATGTATGGTGTAAAAAGGTAGGTGCAATTTTAGGAAAACCTTCGTTTTTAATTTGGGATATGTTTCAACCGCATCATTCAGATGTTGTAAAAAAGGATGCAGAAAGTTCATAAACAACACTCTCTATGATCCCAGGAGGGCTGACATCCATTTTACAACGACTGGGTGTCAGCATAAATAAGCCGTTCAAAGTGAATATGTGCAACTATTGGGCAGAATGGCTATAACCTGATTTGCCTACTAAAACCAAAGGTGACAATACAGTCAAATACCGAAAATCCGCAGACCTGAAATCCGCGTTGCCTCTCAAAATATAAACATTCAGTTTATAGGTTCCGAAAACCGCAACATGGAGTACGAAATATCGAAAAAAAAAAATACTTACGGGATATTGATGTCATAATTACCGAATAACAATGAGTCATCAAGGAAATACCAAATTATTAATATCATGATAAAAGTTTTTTTTCCCTCCAATCTGCATCAAGGTAAAAAAACAGACGATTCACTTACCTCTTCTTTCAAGTTCACAATTTACGTTGTTTTACTTTCTGAGCTTTGTTATTTCACGAGATTGTTTAGTGCTGTCGTTATTTTTATCCGGATATTTTGTGGATAAATTAAGAATATTTTAAATTTCAGCACTTTTTAATACAATGACAGATAACAAACACACTCATGATTTTATTGCTTGCAACGTTGAAAATGTAAACACGTTGCATTGACGATAATGCAAAAAGCGGAAATTCTGCAAAAGAGGAGGCAGGTGCTACACCTCGGTTTATAGCAGAATCGTATGGAATTGCAACACGGCCTGTGTATGATATACGGAAAAATAAAGAAAAGCTGTTGAAATTTTACAGCAACCGTGATTCTAACACCGGAATCCGAAACTGGAAATCTTTACATAAGGCAAAATCGGCAAACATCAATGCCGTCTTGTACGAGTGATGGCAGCAGCGAAGTGATGGGGTACCAATTTTAGGACTGCTCCTGAGAGAAAAAGGGAAGCAGATTCATGCTGATTTAAAAACAGAGGAGCCTAATGTAAATGAATAATATAATATAAACAATTTATATATGTAATAATAATTTAATGCATATAATAAATTATTGTAATAATGTATACAATAATCTAATTAAATGTATCTAATATGCCTTATTTATTTTGCACACTTAGTCTGAATATTATGATTTATCTTTTCTGTCTTGAACTCTGCAAAATCCTAAAATTCGCAGAACCTCTGGTTCTTTGCGAATTTCTGGACTTCTATTGTATTAGAAAGCCGGACATAACTTTAATTGCATAGTGGGCAAAAGACACTTAGGAAATGATCCCAGCTGAAATAATTAAATCATTCAAAAACTGTTGCATTTTCAATCACTTGGATGGCACAGAAGACGATGCAATCTGTCTAAGTGACGATAATGGCACTAGCTGTGATGAAATTTATGATGACTCACTAATGACTGAAAAAGAATTTCAGGATTTATTTGCGGATTTTGACTTTGAATCAGAATTTGAAAGATTCGAATGAAATTCTTTGAAAATTTTGTACATATTTTAAAATTTTATCATGTGCTGAAATGGAAATGAATGGTAAAGTTATACTACCTTTTTACATGATTTGTATACATTTCTTTAAATGGAAATTAAGGATTTTTAAGGACCACCAATGAACAAAATTTAGGACCTCTGAACAAGTTGAATTGAAAAAATTATCTATGTAACCACTTTTATTCTCACAATACAGTTCTAAGAATAAAATAAAAACATGTAGAATGCATTATTATTAAACACAATCTAATATTTAACATAAAATAAGAAATAAGTTTAAAAACATCGCTATAATGGTTGGTAGTAGGTGGCTGAATGCCACAGTCTTGGACCTAGGCAAACAGAAGGTATGGATTTTATAAGCATACAGTATCTTTGTGCAGTGGGGGCACTGAATATACTGCTAGGTTGTACATCTTCTTGAGAGGTCTGGTGATAAGGGTAGAAAACCCCTGAATCAATCTCCCCTGGGGGGTGTTCTCCGTTAAACTGAAAAATTCCTTGAGTTCTTGTTAATGGGCTGCTTCCGCCAGCTATCCTAGCCCTACCGAATGTTATTTTTTTAGTTCTTATAGCATAGATATTGGTTAAGCAAGCAACAGCAAAACTCAGTGAAACAGTCATTGGATTTTCCAGTGTTCATAAAATAAAGATTTTCAAGGTCAACCATTATTGTACAGAAGTCAGTGGTGGTTTCATCTAGCATGCTTGTGAAAGAAAGAGTCAAGAAATGGGAGCAGCCGAAGTTGCAAACATTATATTGATTGGTGGGGCAGTGTGAGTTTTTGTGACTAGCAACCGGTTGGGGGAAAGTGTACAAGACTCTTTTAAGGATGTCATATACATTTGAAAGGAGAGCTGAAAATGTGGGAGGAAGTAGAAAAATGAATTCAATAGTGAAAGAAATAAGAAACATTATTTGAGCATAGTTGTAAAGTCGAAATCCAAGAACTATTTTTCAACAAAGACAGTATTTTTGCTGATAATATCTATTTGGTTTAAAAGAACAAACACCCTGAAACTTTCATTCTAGGGTGGCTGACTGTTCCTCATTCTTTGTAATGCCAATCTGTGATGGTTCCGTCAACAAGGCAAATGGATTGAATTCTATATTCATCTGAAATGTTAATTCACAAGAGAGAGAATCAACAGAAAATGGGTGAAGTGTCAGCTGAGCAAAATTAAGGACTGTTTGCAAATTTTGGGCAAAATTATAGACTTTTTAAGGAACAAAACCCATTTCACAAAAATTCAAGGACTTTTAAGGGCCATATGAACCCCATTTTTAGGTTTAAGGAATTATTTTAAAATGATAATCCATAAAATCTATCAGAATTTTTCCAAGTTCATCTAAAATACACATATCAATATATATGCATTAATCTCAGAAAATAAGATTGTGCACCTTAAATTATTTACACAAGTAGTTAAGATTAAAAAATGAAAAACTGACTTTAACCTGTTTTGAGCAAATGAGCAAGAACTGAATAACAGAAACCAATAGGATAGGCACCAGAATTCTTAAGAGCTGCTTCAAGAGCTTGAGCCTACACATAAATATTTTTTCATCAATGAATACATGCATTTATTTCCCTTATATTATAAAAGGCAATTAGCTAATGGCAAAATATAAGCATCTTTAACCCAATAATAATAATAATAATAATAATAACAATAATAATAAAACTAAATTATTTCATGCAACAATCTTTATTGTTAAAATATTTAAAAACGTGCAAAATATAAAACAACATACTTCTCTGTCAGTACTTCTTAGATGTTTCCAAAAAGAGGTCCTCCTTAATTAAGAGAAAAAATAATCATCTAACACAGAAGCATATTAAACATACACCACCCTCCACTGAAACTGCCACCCCTGACAGCAAATGGCCTGAAACAGAAAGGAGCTAAAATCTCGCTTATGTTTAGATTTAGATGCTGTCTACTTTTATGATCAGTATAAAAAACTAGTAATTTCTCTCCAAGGATACTAACTTTTGAACTAACTGAAACACGATCAGGCATCAAAAATAAAAGGAGTTTATAATTATTTACATACATATGTATTTTTTTTATTATACATTGAAGAAGAATTTAATAAATAAGAGAAAAAGACTAAGTTGTCATTATTTATTCTCAGGTTTTGACCTACTTGGGAAATGTTCTCAGAAAAGTTATTTAATGATTAATTAAACATATTAAAAATACTTTAAATAAACTAATATCTAAATATTTAATATTTAACTTTAAGTATATTTGAATTACAAAACATAATAAACAAAAATGTCTTGCAGGTACCAAACTTCAGATTTCAGACAAAAAATTAAGTTTGAAATTTTTTTGTGATATTATTATTATTATTTGTGTATGTTTGAAATTATTATTAAGCAAAATTTTACTAAGCAAAAAATATTTTTTAATTCTGTTATCAAATTTTTAAAAATTTTGCTAATAATTTCATTTTGGAAAAGAAAAAAAAAAAAAGTCCCATCAGCTCTCTTTAGAGCGTGATGTAGCCAGTGAGCAATTTGAGTTTTAGACCATATTTTAAATTTAGAAAAATATTAAAACTACTGTCTTATTACACCATTCAGCACTATTAGTTTTGTTTTGCATTCAAACAAGTTTTGAAGGTGAGGCAATTTCACAGAAAGGCAGTGCAAATAATATAAATGAAGGCTCAAATACACAAATAGAATTACATGAATGAATTAATGAATAAGGACAAATATACTACATGTGACAAAGTATTCATATTGTATTCTAATTAGTGCAAGACCCATATACACACAGGATAAGCTTACATAGTTATAAAAGGATGTAGGCAAGTTCATAAACCATGCTGTATAATTTATGAATTGCATGGGATATATAGGCCAGTTTAATGACTTTGGCAAAGTGATCTGGTACAACTACAGTAGAAAATTTGTTTATGACATATCATTTATACTGCATAAGTCAAACTCCATTACAGATGTAAGCATGCAAAGGAAATGTGCACAGGTTATTACAGTACAACACTGACTTAGTTGACTATGCCTGCTGACAGACAGGAGCTACAATAGTGCTGAAGCTTGCATTAGAATGATAGAAGGAGGTTCCTCAATGCATTAAATTCTCAAGTACAGTGAACCCTCTCAAGGCTCTCTACCTCTCTTTGAGTGACCAGCATTTATTCTCTAAGATGGACACTCCTTAACCTGATCAAGATCATCACATACATGATTAATGTGATGAACAAAATGTCTAACTTTGCTTATTAAACTACAACGTTTTGCATACTAAATCTAACCTATGAATAGTTCTATAACCTAATCTATAAATAAATACATTCTACAAAGAATGAAATAAACTTATCAACAATGAATTCAATCTTCAAAATACAAAAACAATGAATAAATTACTTCTGTATCATTTATTTTATCCTTTATGCATACAGTGTTTATTTGTGTAACGGTTGCACCTCCATTTTGAAGCAGAAAAAATCTTCAAAATATTTTACCCACATGAAAGTCACAGTCGCATACTAGATGCTCATCTAGAAAATATAAAACTATCAGCTGTACTCTTCCCAGAACTAGTACTCATAATGGATTCATCTGTTCTGTCTCTCCCACTGACATTCTCAATTGTCATTCCATAGCGAGATAAGGAATTGCCTGCTTCCCCTGAGAGGATGGAAGAGCTTCTTGGAGTAGAATTTCTTATTCCCCTTATTTTCTGTTCAGATTGCCAGAGACTCATGCTTGCAACAGTTCAGCTTCAGACCATTCTCATTTTAACATGGCTACATGAAAGCACAATGCTAGTATGGACTGGCCTACTCAAAGTCTGGACAAAAACTCAATAAAACACCTCAGACATGAATCTGAGAGATGATTGCGAGTTAAGCCCCAATACCCAAAATGGTAAAATTAAGGACCAGTGCTCTCTTGGAAGGAAGGCAAGTTGTTCCAAAAAAAGTATTTTAAAAGTTCATGGATAGCCTCCTTAACACTGAAGCAATTTAAATCGCAGACAAAAAAAAAAAAAAAAAAAAAAAAAAAAAAAAAGTCTCTGTACCAAATTAATTTTACACTTCTTTAAAGGAGAAACAGAGTACAGAGTTGTCTAGGCACTTCTGATCATAAAGTGTGAATAATTATTTGATATTTTTAAGAAATAATATTCATGATTACACATTCTCTAAATGAAATAAATATTGACATAAATCTAACTACAATGTTGTGAACTACAGAGTTTTTAAAAATAACAGTAATTTCTTAGCACACGCATGCACACATGCACCCATGTACACTTGTGCAGGCACATTACACATGCAAATTATACTTACTTTCAAATTTTCATAAATATGTTATAATTACTTGTTTGCTTAGGTAATACCTAATTAAAAAATAAAAGCACACAAATTTACATAAAAGATTGGCAGAATTTATTGTATAATTAGCATTTATCTAAATATGCAATGCTTACATAAAGGATAATTAATATTCACATTTTAAATAAATCGTTTTAAATTAAATTTCACTTAAACTTACATAAATACACTTACTGAGATTTATCACTTTGCAAAAGACCTAAAAAGACATAAAATAGTTTGTCTTAAGTCTGAAATGAAATATGAACAAATACATTAAAATTTATGTAACTATGAAATATCTTACTCTCTATCAAAGTTTTCCTTGGTTCTGGAACCTACAAATTAAGAAAGTAAAAATCCATAATATCTATCATCTTAATGCAAATCTATGCACGAAAATTAAATTATAAATACAATTTACCAAGTACTTTGAAATTTACATTGAAAAATATAAGATCAATTAGTCATTGAGGCTATAGAAATATTTATCACTGTATTCAAGTAATTATGAATATGCAGGATACATAACATGAGAATTGAGTTTCTACAGGTGCATTAATTTAAAACTAATGCTGCCCAAAATGCTTCTTTACTGAAATGTTCAAGCCCAAATGCTTGAAGTACAATGGAGTTTCTACAGAAGTCTTTGCTATTTTGAGAATAATTTAATTGTCAGTATCTTCTTTGTTTGTATTTTTAGTATCATTCTTTGCCTCTTTTGTTCTTGTGACATTTGAAATTATATCTACACCGTTTGAAGTACTGCAAGCCTGGCTCAGTCAAATCACCCTCCAACCATTCCTTGATGTTTTCTTGATCACCATTTTCAAAGAATAATTTTTTGGCATACAGCTACAGTTATTGCCTTGACTTCTTCAGAAATTAGATAAATCTCTGATAATTCTATTAGGCAGGTTCTTTTTTCATTATTGAACCAGTGTTATTAGTTTTACTTTTGACCTAAAATTTTTAAAAGAATAAGAAGAAATTATACATGAAAATATGTAGGAAACAAAAAGGTCTCAGAGGTCAACTGTAATGATGACTTTGCACATGCAGAATGAATTGTGTGAGGTAATCATTGACACTAAATCTAAAGACTCAATTCAACAGTTTTTAGAGCATGCTCAGAATTGTGCGTGCTCGTTTCATGCACAGTGTGGAAAATGCATGCGCAGGCACTGCCAATGCTGTATAGGTATTACAGCTTCTTCTATTGTAGGAGTTCTATGATATCTTCATCTGTCTATATCACACCTGTAAGTATAGGAATAATCTACTGTTGCATAGCTTCTGGTTAATAGACTTGAATATTTGGTGATTTGGTAACTATCTACTCTGGAATTTATCTACCATCTAAATGCTACATTTCTACATACACATTACAATATCTGCTTATTTGAGTTTCCTCCTATAGCAAAAATAAAAGGCAGGTATTGGGGACCCAAATAAGAAGGCATATGAAAATCTAGGCCAGCCTCTCAGAAGTACCAGAGGTGATTGAGGTGTTGCTGAACCTAGCTCACTGTTAAACTTCTGGCCCAATTTTGAAAGAGAAAATCCCAGAGAATGGTCCAAGGGTCTTCCACTGTTGTTCCCCTAACACCAACCTCTCAAGAGGACTTTCAGTTTGCCCCATATTTTGAGAGCTCCTTTACCATAGTGACACTATACACTTATAAACATTCATGCCTTCTCTAGGATTTGAGCCTGGGGCCTTCAGTATGACAGCCAGCATCATTTACCACTATCCTGTTTGTCCCCACACAAATAAGAAAATTTTACAATGAGCTATGTGTACAGAAATGGCACATTGTAGTGGTACATAGCACCACTGAACAGCAGGTAAAAACATTCTGCTGACATAAATCATTATTCCTTGAGCCTATTTTGAGTAGCGTTCAGTGTCATACAAATGCAAAACTCACTGACATGCATTTTATATATGGGACACCAGATAAAAGGAAGAGCTACTCAAAGGAGGTACAGAGAAGAATTCTCGAGTGCCTCCTTTGAGCAGCCGCAAGGATAAAATCATTGTCGGAGAGCTCTATGCTCATGTATCAACAGATACTGCTTGAAATCTGAACACAGAATGATGATTTATGCCAGTAAATTACGTTTTTATCTATCACTCAGCAGCACCCATTCCACTTCAATGTGCCATTTCTGTACTCATATTCCATTAGAAAATCTGCTCATCTTGGTTCCCCTCTACCTATGTTTGCATTTTTGCCAGATAGTTTTGAATCACCCTGTAAATAACTAATAAAGATGATAACAAATAATAAGAAACATATTAAACATTTTATGTTTTATATTTCATGTAAATAAATAACTTATTGCTCAGAAATATATCTGTTTGCCTCTTCAGTATCTTTTTATTTATAACTATCTAACTGAAAAACATGCTTTACTTGTAGAAATCACAGAGTTCCCAGATTAGGGGGAAAATTGCTAGTATATACATTATGGTATTTCTAAATAGCATTATAGTTTTGACCAAATATTTTTCCTGTTGTTCACCTAAAGAGACAAAGTAATTTGGTAAAGTAGAACAATTCTTTTGTCTTCATTCTGTATTCAGCCATTACAAATGCACCAGTTAATATTTTTCATAATATTCATAAATCCAGTTGGTGGTGGTAGATATTTTTGCATCTTCAGGAACATGATTTGTGATGACCATTAGTATCTTCAATCAGAAAAAAGCAGTTTAACTGTCTGTTTGGCATGCTTTTTGGATCTGTTCATGAAGACTTGTATTTAAACAGCATTTATTAGCTAAATTTGTATCATTACTAATTTTAGTCACAGTTTTCACAAACTTGCACTCATTAAGATGATACTAACATAATTAAAGAAGGAAAGAAACCTAAATATTTTAAATTATAAGCTAATATATACCAAGAGACAAAAAAAATCTCGTGACAGGATAAAGCTGATTATGTCACTTGGAGGGTTTTAATGGAGGAGTGAGACTTTTAGCATAGTTTAATTTTTAGGCACTTCATTTTAGCTAACACTATCAATATCCCAAATGCATAGGAACAATGCTACTTCTTTCATAATGACATCACACAGCAGGTATCCTAATTCGCAACATTCGCCACAGTGTACTAAATCTACCTGTTTCACATCATATGCAAGTAGAGATTTATTAAACATGGTTTTTCATGTTCCCAACAATAATTACTGCACTATTTATTTTTATTTATTCTAATTATAAAAAAACCAGCTGTGTACTGATATAGTAGGTATAGTATTAGACTAGGGTTATTTAAAGCTCAGTGACTTGTTACACGAAACAGATGAAATGATAATGAAAATGAAGATTTTTTAGAAGACAATAAAACAGAAAATACAGATATAATGGAATAGGAAATACTAATGATTACATATTTTTTACATGAAAACCAAATATATGAAAAATATGCTCTTTTCGCTCATCAAGAAAACAAAGAATGACAAAAACTTCTTGCATCAATTGATCAACAGAAATTTGGATAGAAAATGGAGATAACTGTTGCCTAAACTGAGGAAAAAAAAAGGCACAGAATAAAGATTTCTTCACTATTAACTACTTAAAAAACCATTACATGAAGATGAGCAATGCATTTATCTCTGTAAGATAAATTTATATTCTAAAGTACAAATTTTTTTGTATGCAATTTGGATGAATAAGTATGTTAAAATTTATGAAGGTTTAGGAAAAATACTCTCTCCTCCCAAACCCCTTCTCCTCCCAAACTTTACGATTAATCACATCCTTGAATCCAGATGATGTGAATACTTTTATGTTTCACAGTGCTCTTATATACAGCATACACTAATTTTTATAAAAACAATCCAGGATATATGCCAAACTGGCCTAAAATTTTTATGCTTGAATAGCCAAAGTATACACACACACATATATATAAATTTTCAGTTCAATCTACATATATTTCATGAAATAAAAATAATGTAAAATTTCTAAAAAATGAAGTAGGATCATATTTTTTTCTAAATCAAGAGTACTTTGCACACACCACTTTTGGAACAAAACTGTGCGCAATGAAATAACCTCAACAAATTATAGAGCATTTAATAATATATCTCAAGATATTTAAAGTACCCATTATTAAATTTAAAGCTTAGAAGAAGAAAAGAAAATTTATTTAATATTAATTACAGGCTTGCTATTTTGCGAGCCAATTTCCATTAATTTGAATAAGAAAATAGCATACACTTAAAAAATTTGATGGCACAAGCCCTCTTTTTCCATCTGCATTTTCTGCTTCCCACCAACCATCATCCCTGAGTAATAATGAAAAGAATAATAAAATGAATAATAATAATAATACAACAGATTAGTTTTCTAAAACTACACTTATTATATAATGAACATAAGAACTTTTTAAAAAAAATACACAAGAGATTACTTTTTTAAAAACTAAACACTGTATACAAAGAACAGAATAATAATAATAAAAATGATACATGCATCTTTTTAAATCTAAACACTTAATGCATAATGAACATAAATATGTACATGTATTTGCATTTATTTTTTGTAATGATACATGGTATATTTTCTTCATAAGTTTGCTTCATAACTTAACACTAAAAGCCAAAAACCTTTTCCAGTCAACACAACTCTTAACAACTGTATGTTACAAGGAAGTACATTCATACAGATATGTTTCATACAGACATTATGTTTTTGGAAGTTTAATATTATTAAAAACATTAGTGTACATAGCTTGGAATTAAAATGCACTTAGCTGACAGTCATATTTGTGTATTTAACAATCAAAAGGAATGACTATCATATTCCAAATATCTGCCAATCTAAAATTGTTCAAAACCTAACTCATCTTAAGTTGCTTTTTTTAAAAAATAGTTTTGATTTACTTTAATACAATTCAATCATGTATGCAATTACTACATAATGTAATTTTGAATTTTCAGACTTTATATAATGTGTTGGAATTCCATCTGAAGAATGATTACAAGCAGCAGAATTTTTAATGATATGCTGAACACCTCAATGATACTGCTGCAAATTTCTGTAACTATTTAAATCTACTTGTTGCCATTTTTTTTTGTATTGTAACACTGTGCACATTCTATTTGTTTACATATTTAAATTTTGCATTTACAATAATTTTCTTTTTTTTTTTCAATTAAATTTGTAGCCACATGTTTTGTATACGAATGTTTATTTCTTGTATAGAAATGTAGATCTTGTGATTCTGAAGTCAACAGTGTTTACATTATGGAAAAGCTAAAAAAATCACACATATGGGGCAAAAATGAACTTGACAGGCCTTCATGACAAAAAATGCTACTAAGTTGGCCAATTCCTGCTAACTTTTTGGAAATTTTGAGAAAATGCATTTTTGAAGTTCCAAGAATGAGTTTGCTCTGTGTGTGGTATAGAAAATTTATATTTCTCATGTGTTAACAAGGATTTGACTAATATCTACATTCCCTTTTGCTTAACTACAGCTATAAATTTTTGCTGTGCAGTGTTATTTTAACAACAGATTACCAATTCCTTTTTGTTTATCTACAGTGATTGTTTAAAGACATCCACAAATATGTAGCTCACAGCAGTACAAACAGCAGTTTCACAGAGCAAGATGACCACTTTTATCTGGACATGGAATCTGTTTTCGGTTGATGTGTATTACTTCATTATTCAAAATGTTCTTTTTTCTTCTCTTTAATGATCTGAATATCATCCTAATGAATAGAAATTTATGAAAACAAAAAAGTAAAATAACATGTTATAAATAAAATAGAACTTTCCATCACAAATCCAAAAACCAAGCTGATCAAAGCATCAAGCAAAATTACATGGAAGATGAATGTAAAATGCAAAAATTTCTTCACAAAACAGCAATAATGGCGGGAAATGATTATAGCATCTGCTTGATCTGTGATGTGATATACGTAAGCTGAGAGAGAAGAAATATACAAAAATTTTCAAGCATTCAATTACAAGGTCTCATAGGAAAGACTGGTGAAAGAGAGCAATAAATATATATTTGTGTATTCTTAAAGCAAATGTAAACATAAATTCATGCATTCTATGTATTCTTAAAGTAGTTATGTTAGTAGCACTTGATAAAGACTAAAGCAACATTTTCCAGTAACCATAATTCTGAAATAACTACCAGCTCTGCCAGTGATTATTTTAGCTTTAACCATTTTGCTAGCTGACGTTAAAAGCACTCCATTTAAAATATTTAGCCAGCTTAAGTAGACAATTTTGTGTAGCGATCAACTATGTTACTTGAAACTGAATTCCAATTTATGTTTTTTTAAATATCTGTAAGTGATGGAGTTTTGCTTGTACACACAAGTGAGCCTTATGTTTAATTTAAAGATTTAATAAAAAATGTATTTTAACATTTACAGGAGTTTGTCATCTTAATTCAGACTGAAGTGATAATTCGCTTGCCCCTCGTAGGATCTGAAGGACTAAGCTTAATATGAAGATTTAAGCTTTCATACATTTAGATCAATATATTTTGTAGCCAACTCTTTTAAGAACTATATCTGGTAATGATGCAAATTTTAGCCTGCCACAACCTAAGACTCCAAGTTTCTACACCAACAAGCCCAATGGAAGGATTTTGGTATATTTTGGACACAATGCATGCACTGATGAAACAAACCATCCAGTAGTTTTGATGGCAGACACTCCATTTTGACTTTCATTGAAAAGTTAGAAATTTTCTACTATCCCTAGTTACAAAATTTCAAAAGGTTACCATAGCACTCACACCACTGCAAGGTCAAGAATTGAATTGGTACAAGACTATGGGAAAATACCTGAAGCTGAACCAGAAAGTGAGAATTATATTAAGTGTCCAGGTGGCAAAATTATTAACTGGGGAAAAACCTGATTTGGAAGTTACTGAAATAATACAGCACAGGTTGTTTTAATATCCAAAACACTGTGGAATTGAGAAACCCTGGTACGTTAAAACAACTTTTTGAATTAGCTGTGAATTATGAAAAACGGCTTGTGCCAGCAAATATACATAAGCGTGCGTTTGGTGTAAGGTTTAATGGAAACTTTAAAACCTTTTCAACTCTGTATCCAAAAGAGGTCATACATTTTATGGAAGAAAAAGGTTTAGTGGCTGGCAAAATCGTTCATCTGCCAATAGTGATTGCCAAGATAAGAAAAGCAAGTGTTGATATGCAGAGAACTTTAAACTAGATAGGGATGCTGTGGAAGATAAGGCAGCCCCCCCAAAAAAATAAGGGAAAATTCCTCTCACATTCAATAAAAATCTGGTACTAATTAATAACATCTCCCTTCCAAATATCCAAACTGTCTTCAAAGGAATTCCGTCAGACACCTTATTAGACACAGGGGTACAGCGTAGCTTTTCGGTAGAAAAGTGTTTTAGAAAAAATTTTAAATATACAGATTATTTGATGTTACAGGAATAAAGATGATAACAGCACAAGCAAAACACTCTGAATATGTAGGATGTGTGAATTTGTGTAATTTAAGGAGCAAAAGCATAAGCTTTTTATGGTCAGAAATTAGCAGGTAAGCATGCTTTGAGGGGTGGATTTGTATAAGGGACAAAGAGGAAGAGCCATGAGCTTCAACTTGAAGGATTTTCTAATAGAGTTGGGGAATTAAGACACAATAACATGTCGAACAAATACTAATTCAGAAGTCAAAGAGTTGGGGAAGTTGGTAAGAAATGTTCCTGATTTATTTGATGATAGCTTAGCATTAATGCCTGGCAATTTAGCATTAACACGGTATGACTCACTCAATCAAAACAGGAGATAACACCAAGCAGAGCAAAACCCTACAGCAATGATAAAGAACAGACCATAAAAGGCTACATTTTGGACATATTGACAAACAAAATAATAATCTCTATGAACAGTTCACATGATAAATCTGTAGTAATATGCAGAAAAAAGAAAAATTTTCCTTCTCTTGATTTTAATGCCTGACGATTTAGCATCGACTATAGAAAACAATATATCCATTTACACTCTACAAATAAGTGAAGAGATAATTAAATCTATGAACTACATGTCTCTCTGTCAGTCTCAGAGGATTAGGCTCAGAACCAGGTCATCCACATTTGAGATTCATTCCAGAATTATATGTCTCAATAATTCTGTCAACAAGATCAAGTTTGAACTGTAACTGCATTTTTCTTCCTCCTTTCTTACAATAGATGACATATGAGTTCCATATGGCAATACCAAAAATGTGGAAAAAATTTTTTTCAGTAACATTTTTTCTCTCTCTTTCTAATGCAGTCTACTCCTTCCATTGTGTTATTATAATCAATAACAATTTTTGGTTTCTGTTTCATTTCAGAGCAGACTTGGATTTATACCCTTTCAGTATTGTGAATTGTAGACAATAATGAAACATTTTTTTGGTCCATCCACTTCATCACAGTAACTTTTCCTCTCTGAAATGCCATAATTTCTTCTCTTTTTAGTTTCTTCATTTGCATTTCCTTTGGGACTTCTTTTCTGTTTAGGTTCAGAGCGCCATATGTATCCGTTCGACACAAAATTAATTTGTCAGCTAATTCCGGTGAAGAATAGCAACTATCAGTTATAAGACAGAAGTAAAGGCTGCATCATTGTCATAACAACGTGTAAGGAAATACATACATTAGAAAACTCTGGGTTCAAAATCATGTTTTTACCTGTATAAATTGTTATAGAACACACATAACCAGAAATGCATTCACACATCATAAAACATTTTATTTTGAATCTTGCTCTTTTTAGAGGAATAAATTGCTTCCACCCTAATCTTCCTTTGAAAAGTACAAGGCTTTCATCTATCGTTACATCATGTTCAGGTGTCACCGTCGAACGAAACTTCTCATTCAGATATTTATAAACTGGCCATAATTTCACTAATTTTGGGCATTCATGATTTTGAGCATCAAATACTGAATAATCAGAAAAATGTAAGTACCACTGCAAAAGAAGAAATCAATGATGAGACATTACTTGAGAAAAAAAGGGTGTTTATGTGGAATGTCTTTTGTTTCAGTACTGATCTATTCCAGGCTTCTTTATAATTCCCTAGAGTATAGTCAGGGCAAAAAATATATGCATCTCTTCCACAGTCGTTTCTTCCCAAAATTTACCTCTTGAGAATTTTCCTGCAATGCTTGATTGGATGCACTGTTTCGCATACCTATTTGTTTCTTCTACAATTTTAGTCATTAGACAAGAAGCAATAAAAGTTTTATAAAACTGTAGCTCATCGAAAGTATCATCAAATTGTACATTTATGGCTGGAATACCAGTAAAAGTAAACCGGGGACATGGAGGAGGTGGATTTCCACATCAGTTTCGATAAAATTTCTAGCAGAAATCAAATCTTCATCGAAGCTGAACTCACTACATGAGTCAGCTGAAGAATAATCCAGAATATTACAAGACAGTTCTGAATTTGTATCAAACTCATCAGAAACATCTAACAATAAAGTATTATCATCAATTATAACAAAAATATCAAAAACAAACAATGCCAAGTATTTCAGACTTCGGTAACAAAGGAAAAAAACAATTTGAATACTTTTCAATGACATGGACAAGCTGCTTGAAATATGTTAATACTAAAGACTCTCTCAGTCAATTAAAAATACGGGCAAATCAAAACAAGAACGGAGAAAATATTGTTGCTCGTACGATGTGGCCAAATATTAGTAACCTGTACACTGTACGGGGAGAACCAGTTAAGATATTAAGAATGAATTAAGATATTAAGAATGAAAATGGAAGATTCCTCACAGGAGATGAGCAAGATAACTATGATAGCATGTATCGTAAATGAAAATTTAAAAGCTTGTGTGTTGTAAATGAAAAATTAAAGGGCTAGTATATTTAAAATGAAAATTATTTGAAAATTAGGTTCTGTGACAACACGTTTAAAGTTTAAATATGGTATAGATTTTATCAGATATAAATTTTGAATTAGGGTGTCATTGAGGTATGGTGTGTCTAAGGATTCCAATCATGTAGGAATTCGGTTAGCAGGTAGAAGCTGTTGAAATACTTCAATTTTACACAATGTTTCACCCATGACAAAACTTGACTTCTTTCTTTCTCTTTGCTTGAAGACGGTTGGTTATAAAAGGTGTACATTTCGTGCATGCGTTCATCATCCAAGAACATGTGACAGTTGTTCTTAAATTGATTCCCAAAGAGGCCTTTAGAAGACATTTTTCAATGCTTTATGAATGTTACCAAAAGTCTGTTAGGGCTAATGGTATTTATTTTGAAGGCCAGTAAGTGCAATTTGTTTGTATGTTCTGTTTTGTTTGCTTTTTAATTTCATTCATTGAACATTACAGACACCTCCGATATATTTTTCGTCTCCTCAGACTATGGAAATTATATAACTTTGAATTTAAATAATACATTATGAATATTACATTAGCATTTGCTTAAAAATTCTAAATTTACGTGATCATTGACCAGTTCCGTACATATAAAACTCACAGCTCTGAAATCACACGTCATCTTATCAGATGTACTTCTCTTGAGCAAGTGAGCAATTTCATCTTGCAAATATATTGATATAATCAAAAAGCCTAGTCCTTCAAAGGTGACAAATAAACAAGATTCCTGAGCTGTTTTAACTGACTCATTATCTTTCCAGTGATAATTCTTTTAACCATTTAATGATCAATTAAAAAACAGAAAGCAGTCTTTTTTTGGCCAATTTTTTTTTATTCTTTATTTTAATTCAAAACTTTAATGGATATATTCTGTTGTAGTCATATGTGGAAAAAAAAAATCCTTGAATGTATTTACTCGGGTGTGCAGAAATAATTTAGTTCAGTACACCTGAGTTAACTCAGTTGAGTCATTAGGAGGATAATAGCTGTAAAAATGAACTGTGAATAGTTGGTAAACATAAGAATAAATGCATCATTCCTGTTTAAAGAATTATTTTTTTCCAATAACCAATTATATGATTGCCCTTTATAAACATTCAAATAGCCACTATAATATTAAAAGTAGTACATTGTTCAAATCAAAAGCACTACAAAAATTTATAAGTTAGTAATAAATGACAATCATATTCATAGTATCCATTAAAATACATATGTAGTTTTTATTTTCTGTTGATCATAAACACATTTCCATTTATAAAAAACATTTTAAATGGCACAAATATTCATGTTTTTAAATTTCATGCATTTTAAACTTAAAAAATCAATTTTGTAAAAATTATGAAATCCAACTTTTTATATGATTTCTTGGTCTGTAAATTTATAATTATAAAATAAAACACAAAAAGATTGAACATTTTACAACAAAAATTGACTGAGATATTTAATTTTAAAATTTGGCATTCTTATGATGTTTTTTAACCGGCCTTGAGGGGTCAGTTAAAAATAAATTAGAATAACTTGAGGCTGATTCCCCCCTTTTAATATCACTTACCGATATTCTTTTGTAATTTACTAGTGTGGAACATTCTTTAATTTATAATTTTGTTATATATTTTGTAATGAAAAAAAATATGCACATTGTGATTTATAAGTTTTCAAATGCAAATATTATGTTATTTATATTCTCATGCAGTTTTATTGCTTTAAAATCATAATTCTACAAATCATACAAAATATCATTAAAGTATAAATATTTAAAATTTTTTATTTATGCAAATAATGTATACAATAAGCTGGATATATGCTAATACCGATGCCTGTTAATGTTATCTATAACAAGAATACTGTAAGATTCTGTGAATAAAATCCCCTTTTTGACAAGGTTTATATTTTTCACTACTTTTTTTGATAGACTTCATAGTGATGCTCGTCCTTTAATCCATTAGCATCAGAAACATTTTTATAAACTGATACATACTTCTTTTTTAATTAAGGACAAATGCAAACACTTCACTTTTCAATTTGTAAAGCATTCTTGTTCCAACTTTGAAATTAAATTACCTTAGGCAACTTTGTAGAGGAACCAAGCATCTTGTGTTCAATTTTTTAAAATGAGAATAAACTTTTACAAAATACATACATTTTTTCTAATACCAAAAGCACTTCAAATAATCATAAAGACTGTCAAATGACTTATCCTGCTTGCTTTCAAATTGAAACTGTCACCATTCAAAGTCAAGGTATAATCAACCTGAGAGTTATACCGACTCAGAAGTTTAACCTTTTTGCGACAGCGCACCTTTGTTTAAGATGCTCGTGCGGGATGGAAGAGAATCGAAGGCAGTCACAATACAGGACGTAGGTTTTGCATCGCTAAGCCTAATTTTATAACAAAAATCAGAAAACAAAACTAGTATGTAATTTTGGTATAGAATAGCCTATATGAAAATTAGACCTAAAACAATTTTTTCTTTATTTACATAAAATATACTTGCGTATCTTCTAAAATAATTTTCGAAGCGCTATTCAAATTATTCCAATGTTTAATTGATAAAGCCATCAATAAAGCTTAAAATTAATAAAAAGACCCATAAAAGACTATTTACAGTAAGAAGTAACAAAATTAAATGAAAACGAGTGTGGTAATCTCGAAGCACCGAGAAGTATCACTTTGAATCTTAGAAAACGTCACTTTTTAACTCTTAGAAAATGAATCAGTATCTCATTTGCGTTAGTAAATGTCACAACCATACTAGGGTATTTTCCTCTGATAAATAGCACCTTCCCTCCATAATAGACTGGAGAGTGAGGCTTACGAAATAAAAAAAAGAAGGAAAACGGAATCTGAAGGGAAGCAAAATGCACAGTAACTCCACAGTACCCAAAAACCGTACATAGTAAGGAAAAATAGAATAAAAAAAAAGGATTTGGATATAAATCAGACGAATGTTTTCATTAGCATGCAGCATTTAAAGAGCCACCTCTGTTATGCTTTCCCTCCACCCCCACCCTCGAAACAGGATGAGTAAAAATACCAAGTAAGAATATATCAAACTCAAGGTCAGGAACCTAAAACTGTGTTCATTTCAAATGTAATGGACACAGGATGCCATCTAGTGGCCTTCAGAAAAACATTCCACCTTAAAATGCATATACGCATCACCCGTCCTCTGAATGCGATCTTTACTGATGCGTGGATGGGACGCCCGGCTGTAAGAGACGTTCTTAGGGAATGCGCATATGGGACGCCCGTCCTGAAAGGGTTATAGGAAACAGAACTTAACTACTTTCTTGTTACACTGTTTGTAACACTGGGCAGAAGAAATACAATGCAAATGTTTTCCACATTTAAATCTTCAGACTGTTAGCCCACTACATACTCATGGGCCTAAATTTCAAATTTCAATTTAGACCATTCAAAGTGAAGTTATTTTGATATTGCTGATTAACTGGGAGCCAGTTACAAGGGAAATTTACTGTGCCTCATTTATTTCACTTTCAAAGATAATAGAAGTGTATTGTCATGATTCTAGAAAATTTCCATTAACATTTATTGTATTTACAATTCCTTTTCTGGAATAAATTTGTATGATTTATTTGGTATAACCTTACATACCAGCTACAATTTTTTGGCGTATATGAAATTTCATGCCTTCCACTTGAGAAAGGAGATTACCACAGATTCCAAAACGTAATTTTTTCAAATACACATTAATACAAGAAAACATTTTTTTTTTCACTGGAATGAAAATTAGATACTTACATAATAAAATTTACAAAAATTATGACACATCCATACATATTTTACACCAAATAATGTATGTAGGCTATGCATTAATGAACTTCATATCTGGTGTGTTAATGCAAAAAAAGGCAAATGTAAAAAAATATTCACACCTTATTCCAAGTACAGTTAATATTTCTCCTTCAGCAAAAGCAAGATCTCCTTCTTCTTCTCCAGGAAAATCACACACTGTATGACAAGTAAAACCCTACAAAGAAACCATGGTAATTAAATAAATATGCAACTTAAAATTAGTCAGATAGATTATAGAAAATCTAAAATTAAAAAAAAATGCCGACCTTTAACAAAATTTAATCTTATACATTATGTAAAATGTTTTTTGAAAGATAATTTCTTTTTAAAAATTTTGATATGTTTTCTAGTTCATGCACAATTATTTATACTTCTATTTTCATAAAATATTAAATAAGGGTTTATTTTGTGCAAGGTTTCTGTTAAAATTTTCATACCTCATCATTGACTGTTTGGTTTTGAATAACTTTATGCAACACATATGAAAAACTATTATAACCTCATACAGCCAGTGTACCTGCCAAGAACTAAATACTATGCATATATGCTTCGGCCTCAGCTTAAAGATGATAGTAACAATCAGCCCATTTCTAAATCTTATATTTTAATATAGCCTCTTGTGGAGCTATAGTAACTAGACTTGAAGATTGGTAGTTGTATCACTCTGATGCTCAATAGTATTCTACCAGGATTGTGTGAATGGACAGAGCATACATTAGCAAATAGTATAGCTCTGAGGCACAGTAATATGGTTTACATGTGGTACAGTGACGACCATGTGTCACAGTATCAAGTTGGCAGGGTGAGTAACCTTTGAGTATAATTATCTAATCAAATTAGTCAATGGTGGCAACAATATATTACTTAAAGTTTTGGTATGGCTTTCAGTCATTCTGTCAAAAGTAAACCAGTGGAGTAGTGAGCATAACTGGCGCCCAGGGCAAAATACCTTTTTGGTGCCCCCATCCCCCCAAAAAAACAAAGTGATATGATGAAAAATCTTGTTTGGAGACCATTTGGTGCACCTCTGCGAGCGGCACCTGGGGCATCATACACCCCCTTGCCCTCTCTCGCTACGCCACTGAAGTAAACTGTTTTTGGTCTAAAATAATTTTATAAATTTTGATTGAGATATCTTTAAAATATGAAAAAGATTATCTAATGCAGACTACAGCATGAAAGGCATAATTCTGAGATTTTTAAAACTGACCTGCAATGTACACAGGTTTAAAATTCCTGATTAATTACATTCTGCACTTTCATTACAATTGAAATTTGAACTGATGTAGAAATCATTTTGATGTTCCTTGTCTCAAATATTTAAGTCTACAGATGCTAAGAAAAGCATGTACTTCCAGTAATATTTAAATTAGTAAATAGATTAGCACTTATAAAGAAGCAGTGAATAGTTAATTTAAACAGGATAACATGAAATTTCAGCTAACTGATATAAAATCTGAATGTATGCAATCTCATGAACAAACTATTTCCAGGATATTTTCAGTAATTTACATAGCTTTTTTAATTTCTACAAGTTTGAACTAGCAAGATTCTGCTGGACTCCTGAATTTGAGTTAGATCAGGAAAAACTTCAGCTACGACAATACCTAATTTTACGCACTACAGAAATGAAAAGCAAAACCTCAAATTTTATGTTACAGAATATATGTACCACAGGAATACCAAAAAGAAGTTTCTAGTATATTTTGTAGATTATATTTAAAAAGTGTATAAGCCATCAATGGGAGTGTTTTTAATTTGTGAAGTTATTCAGTTAATTATGGCAAATGCCTCTGCTCAGTTTCTGTTCTGCAGATGATATATGTAATATTGTCCGCCAAACAGTAATATGTGAATAGATAGCTAAAATCATAGTGTTCCATCTTCAGGAACACTATGATTTTTTTTTAATGTTAACTTTTTTAACTTCCTTACACCTCAATGATATAATGCTAAAAAAACATATGCTTAGAAAAAGTAAGAATAAATCTGCAGAAAGCTGGTGTAGGTTAGGTTTTGTAATAGTAATGATATAAGTAACACTACTGTTGAAAAATGGCAATAAAAGTCAAGGAATTCTGTTTAAATTTGCTGACAGTGAGCACAGCATTAATGATTCACCAAATATTTTATTTAAAGACATCAATATGCATATTTAGATTTATATTTTGTTTACATACACTCACATAATTCTCTGGAGTTTCTTGATGGATATTTTTCATGCTTAATTCTGTAATCTGAGATCCACTTTCAGTAGAAAACCTGCAATAATTTTCATGGAAAATGAAGCAATATCAGTCAGTTCAATTAATGTTTTTATTCAAATTCCATTTTTTAGCAGGTTATCTAAAATGAAACATTTCAAATGAAAAGGTAATACAAATTTTAGCTCTGATATTACAGGTAATAATAAGATAAACAAATCAACTATAATTTCAGTTAAAACTATTTTCATTAATTATAAAAAAGGTTATTCAAATGTATGATTTCTAAACACAGTTAAGTTTTAACCATTATATATTGATTAATACTAATAAGTGAGCTGGTTGCCATACTATAGGCACAGAATCATATCGCAGAGAAGGCCTGGTAATTTGCAGTTGTCTATCATATTCTAGAAGGTATAATATTGGCCTTACCTAGCTCTGGTGCTCCCTGGGCACATTGATGATGAACAGGCAGCTAAATGACCAATTCTTGATTTACACTTAACACGTTGACTGCCACGGCACTTTTCAGATTCCGGTCTGAGAAGCCAAATCGATTTAATCATATTATATTATTAAAAATACTAATTATGATTCGTAACAATCATTAAAAAGTTTACAGGCTGATTTTTTTTTTTTTTTGTAGAAAAAAGGGTCCTACGAATTATCTTGTTGTCGGCTTTTGTTAGACAAAGCTCTTTGCAGAAGCCCACAACGAGTTGATTCGTACAACATGCTTCGACTTGTTGCCTTAGTACAGCTAAAACAAGCGGTAAGCAAGTAACTCGTAGCGGCACAAAAATGGCAAGTCAGGAAACTACAAGATACTCATATTGGGCGTCCAGAAGAAGTGCGCTAATACGAGTTATTCCGTGTTGGGCAGTCAACGCAATAAAAATCAAATGTCCAGAAATAGGAAAAAAATATTAATAATTGAAATTAAAGAATGGACATAATTTTAGCAGTTGCAGCCTCAAGATTGAATAAAAATGTCTATGGCATTTCAAAACTATAAATATTTGTCAGAAAATTAGTATAATTTACATTTTTGAACAGTGAAGGCAGTGGTGACATGTTTGCCATAAAATGATAAATGAAATTCAAGAATTTTCGCTAAATTTCTTGACGACCAAAATATGATTTAAACCAGCGGCTGCCAACCTTTAGAACTTCATGGACCACTAAATCTGCAATTTCGTATTAGATGAACAACTAAAATGAGTTTAGAAAAAATGGTAACTATGTTTATATAATAATAATCAGAAAATTTTTATTTTATTAATGTGAAATGCACCCATTAAAGGTAACAGAGTTATAGAGTAATTATTTAAAAAAATGAAAAATTTAGGTTTATTTAAATATTGCACATTTTTAGCATGATATTTGTTCCTGTTTGTTTGAAATCAGTTTGCGGATTTTTGGTTAGAGTGATATCACTGCAAGACGAAGAGCCATGTTTATTTCAAACCGAGACCTGTACCAAGTTTTAACAACTGTTACAGACAAAAATGTCTTTCCGCAGAAATATATTGCTGAAAATTGAATTAAAATTTTCATAGCTTTTCCACTCAGTTATGGGTATTCATTTTTTATAGACAGGCAATAATGAAGTCTTTATAAAGATGACTAGAATTTAGTTATTGAACTGTCTCGCAAGACAGATTTATCTGCCCTTCTTTTTCATTCATGCTTAATTTGCTATCTTCAGTGTTTGCTGAAAATGAATCTCTATTATCCACATTTTTCCATGCCTAGGATCTTCTAACTTTTGGTAATAAAAACCAAAACATTCTGTCAGTGACTGGAAGTGCTGTTTAATAATGGATACCACCTGTTGGTTGAGAACGTTCTCTCACATATTTTCATTAAAATTTATACAAATTTGTAGATTTCCTTCTACAGCATTTGCCACATTCACATTTTTTGAAAAGCATCTATTTTACTTGTACTTGCTTATATGGCACTCTAAGTTGTCCACATGCTTAAGTTGTCCTTGCATATGTTTAGTTCGGTTAACAGAGGAAAACCATCTGCCAGGTATACAAGCTTGGCTACCCATTCAAATCAGACAAGAGTTCTTGAAATTCCAGATTATTTTTCAGCAGCAAATCATATATGCCTTTTGTTTTTCTATATTTGATGTGCTTTCAGATAGAAAGCCTTTGATAGGGATTTATCTTAAGCAACCATATAAGGTGCCTACTTATTTTTACATAGTTTCGCAATTTTTTTGGACATATTTTTTTTGTCGAGTTTTGAAGGTTTCATTAGATAAACTCTGGGAACAGATAATATCAAAAGGCAGTGAATTCAGCTAATTACTGGGTTCCAGAATAAATCAAAATTTCAATTAGTCTGAATCACATTTTCTTGTTATTTTTGGCTTTTTTTTTCTTTGCGCCTCCAGGTTGAAAATTCTTTCTAATGCTGTCTGACCATGATGAGGAATGTGGATGCTTTGATCAACTCTCTGTTAAATGAAGTAATAGTATTTTCATTAGTGATTCTATCTTTAGTTTTACAAAAGAAATGCAAAATATTTGCTTGCTTTTTCTGACTCATTATGCACCTATTATCTATTTTATTTGAATCAGAAAACCATAAAAAATTAAAGAAAATTATTAATAAGTGAAAATTGTCCGTAAAAAGCTCAAAGTAGCAAAGTAGCTCAAAGGGGCAATTTGCCCAGAAGGGTTATTAATTTCATTTTGGCATTTTGCATTGTACACTATAAAAAGGTGTTTCACTTTTCAAAGTATTGCTACCAGATATTAGAGCCCTGCATTATATTTAGAGAAATTAAATAATGAAGAAATCTGCATGAATGTATGTATGTTTCTTGCATTGTGAAAAAACAACTCTACTTAAAGACACCAAATTTTGAACAGCGTAGTCCTGCCCAAATTTAGAATTTGTTTTATTATCGATTTCATATTTTGTAAAATGTTAATGAATTTTTTATTAACAATCTCAATAGTTTCAAAGCCAGCAATGGCAACACCATACGGAGACATTTTAATCTCCAGCACGCGAGACTGTGTATCAGAAATTCTAAAGATATGTACTTTTTAAATATTTTGCGATATTGTTGTTGAATTTAATTTTATGGTTTAAGTGCAAAGAACATGATATTTAATAAATAAAGGTAACACACAAAATGTTAAAAAAAAAAAAAAAAAAAAAAAAAAAAAAAAAAAAAAAAAAAAAAAAAAAAAAAAAAAAAAAAAAAAAAAAAAAAAGAAAAAAAAAAAAAAAAAAAAAAAAAAAAAAAAAAAAAAAAAAAAAAAAAAAAAAAAAAAAAAAAAAAAAAAAAAAAAAAAAAAAAAAAAAAAAAAAAAAAAAAAAGGGCCCCCCCGGGCAGCATAATAAAAATCTAAAAGCTTTCAGATTTTATTTACTTATTTTTTTTTTCACTTTTACATTAGAAAGTACTTAAAATGATCATGAAAAAGCAGCAGATGTGCCGAGGTAGATTCAGAATTCTTCTCTTTATAGCAGCTAAATAAATACTGATAATTTTCAAATAAATATTTCTCATACCCAACACTAATATTTTCAGAAATATATAATTTAGTGGTATATTAATGGTTTATTTTAATAACTTTGGTGTTAAAAAGTGGCGCATTCAAGGTTTTCGTGAAAATTACAGGTTGGAGAAGTACAGCTCTTCAGACTCTTTAAAGTTTATGCAATATTCACAGCACACTTTTGCACATACACATAAAATGCTAGAACGATTATTGACCATAATAAGTTCACATAAGCCCACAAATTAAACAATATGTTAAAAACTGCAGTTTATTTAGCAGGAATAACACAAGACAGAAAAAAAAATTTACAATTTTTTTATATTAGAACCATGATGCATCAAAAGTTGGCCCAAATTTGGGATGTCTAAAATGATTCAACATTTTTAAAGGCATTCTAGATACTCAAGACTTTTTTCTAAGACACCTTTCTACATATGAATTTAATGTTTTGAAAGTGTTTTTTAAAATAAATAATTAAATAGTATAAATAAATAAACTTGAGAAGAAACTACATAAATATGCTTCCTTCTAATGTAAAAGATAAATTATTTTAATACACTTTTTAGCTGATAGGCTGTGCGTATGAAATAGGTTCAGTTTTCATAAGGATATTTTCAGGAAAAAAATTTGCTTTATGTTTTGGCTAATATAGTATACAAGTGTTCACTTATGTGATCCCATAACATAGATAGAGTGGATACACATTCATGAGACATATATTGCTTGCAACATGTATTGGAAATGACAGCTTTCCAGTTCAAAAAATTTGTCAATGTATTGCTAGAAATCTCCTCTTTTTCAAATTTATTGGGAAACTATGCACTCAAAGATACAACACAAAATGTAACCCATGATCATCATCTTTTCCTTCCAAATGACTCATGAAACATTTTTTTTTTTTTTTTTTCTTCTGAAATCCTTCCTTCCCTCCAACAAAATGATGCATGAATCACTTACACATAAGAGAACAACTTAAGAATCAGAATTACAAAATATGCATAAAATTATCTAATCTTAAATGTGTGGCCAACTTTTATGCTGAATATTTTGTACATACAACTTGCTGCTATCCTCCCCCCCCCCACCATCATCTAAATCTTTACCTTAAACTTATCATTAGAAAGTTTTTTTTTTTTTTTTTCTTTTTAAAATCTATTATGCAAATTCTACATCAATTATAATTTGCTCAGCATAAAAAATAAGTTCAGTAAAAAAATTAACAGTGAAGGTGTGTCTATAACACAAGTTACTCCCTCAGACAAGTAGCAATGGTCGAATGTTTGATGGATCATAGTTAAAATATAGAGGAATATCTGTTTAAAAGACGGATGATTTCGAAGAAGACTTAAAAGATTAGATTTTTTTAACTATGGCAAAGCAAGCAAGAGCTAGCTGCTTAATGGAAGGAATGCCTAGGTGAAGGCTATTTTAAGAGAAACTGGCTCATATTTATATTCCATAAAAATTCCCATGCAGCTAGCTCATTCACTAGGATCTGAACCTAAGTTTAGCAATTGTACTATTT